ATGTATCTAGACCCAACAGGAAGCAGCTCAGTCAATAATGCACCCTAAAGTCAGCCTCTTAATTACTGCATCTTTTTCTCTCTGTCTTGTTAGGTTTCCCTCTCTTTGTGGTTGATAAGAGATACTAGTGAAGGGATATAAATAACCAGCCTGTCTCCATCATAGGCTTAAAAGTCATCTTAGCGTAAAGACAAACTAGGTTCATTCTTGCTTATGGTTAAACCTCTGTTTCTCAAGGATTGGATTGTGCCCTGCCTATAAACTTATCTACAAATGGTTCTGTATTGCCTGTACCAGGAAAGGCAATTATGTGTTTGTTTCAAGAAATTGTTTATAACCATCTTGCATCACTAACTTTGTTCCAAAAGGTTATAAGACCACCTGTGACTACCTGTTCTTACGACTACCTTGTTATGTTCACATTGCAATCATGCCTCTGCTTCAGATGGTTGTTAGAACTAACTTGTCATGCTTATGTTCTGTTCCTATTATCCTGCCTATTTTGCCCATCAAATCCTCTGTTTGGAAACCTCCTATCCCTGAACAGTAAAAAAAGCCATTTTTTTTTCTCATGTTCAATGCTGACCTCATGAAGCCCACCTTAGGCGGGAGACAGCCTGGGTACATGGATATAAAACCTTGCTTTAATTAATTACTTGCATAAATTAATCTGGCCATGGTGACTTGAGTTGATGGTCTTTTTTCTTCCCATTTTTGGGATTAACAGATAGAAAGCAGTTGAGTTGGCTTCTCGGGATGGAGAAAAGTCCTGTCTTGTGATAAATAAAAATAAAGTCATGCACTGTGGCACAGTCTGTAAGCCCAGTGATTGAAAGGCTGCAGCAGGAGGATTTGGAGTGCATGGTCAGCCTGGGCTATATGGTGAGAGCCAACCTTTAAAAACTGGAAAACCTATGGACTATTAGGCCCACGTTTCATCAAAGTGAAGGTTGACACTTTATGGAAAATATAGTCTTCAGTTGTCCAGGAGGGTCTGACACTGAGATGCTGTGGAGCCTGGGTCTGTATGGGCCGAAGCAGTAAAGAACACTGCCTTGGTAATGTCTCCAGAGGAAGCACAGATCTTGGTGGGAAAACTGTTCTCAATAAGAGGTGTTTGTGCTAAGAGATACAGGCACTGGGTGTAAGATTTGTTATTGACTGGTAGGTTGTTTATTCTCTGGGTGTGCTAAAAAAAAGTGTATGTCCCCATTCCTGATATTGTCTACTCATTCAAATCCTTGGTACATAAAAGCTAATGAGACCAGCACTTTTCCAACTTCAACATTCTAAGAAGTGGAAGTTCAGATGTAGCCTGCATCCCCCTCCTAATATAATTGCTTCAATTTCTTAACTCAAATAGAAAATAAGAACATACAGTGTGTGGGATGAGTGTACCAGTGGCAGAGCATGTGCTCTGTGAACATGAGGCTGTGGGTTTCATCGTGTGTGTGTGTGTGTGTGTGTGTGTGTGTGTGTGTGTGTGTGCACATGCGCACACACAGGGGCTTTGAAATTAAATAACACTTAATTTGGGGTTCTGGCCATACCATTTCTTGACTCAAGTTTGCTAACCTCTAAGTCTCAAGAATAATAAAGACTTTGATGTGTTGCTGCAAAGAATAAATGAGATGACATATGAAAAGTACTTAGCACAGTGCCTTACATACACACACACACACACACACAAAGAGAGAGAGAGAGAGAATAACTTTATATGCTAGCCCGTATTTAACATGTTGAGGGGGAGACAGTTGTCAGCGTCCCTGTTGTATTAGTTAATGAATAATGTCATTGCTACTGTTAGGGTATTGATTGTTTAAGTTTACAGGACTGCTAAGGGTCATATGGCTCAATGATAAGTGCTGTGGAATATGTGTAGGGATCCCAGGTTCAAGTTTAAGCTTTATCTCTGATCAGCTCTGTTGCCTCATCCAAATTATTTCACCTTCTGACCCTCACTTGTTTCATCTAAAATGAGCAGATGGTATCTTTCCTTTTATATCTTAAAGTCTTTTAAAGAAAGCCGAGGGCTCTATAAACTGCCAATTTCCATGTGGTAATTGAAGGTGTTACTTCACTCTCCTATGATTTGTCACATGAATTCAACAAAGACTGCTCTGAGTTTCTGAGACTTACTTAGAAACACTAAGAGTGAAGTAATTATGAAGAAAGCCACCAAAAGTAACACAAGAATCATGATGGGAAAAGCGATTGTGTATCAATCTAAAAGAACTCCATTAGCCAACATAATGGAATAACTGAAAGCAACCTAAGCTACATACATCATGTTAACACAAAAACATTTACCCTTCAATGGGACTAAGGTTGGAGCTATTTCATCAGCTGTGACTTTAACCTGTTCCACCCTGTTCACAAGTGAGAACATTTATTTAGTCCTATGTACATGACTTCCTTCCCATACAATTATTTTCCTCTTAAACACAATACTGAAAACAGAGCTCTACCACTGTATCATGCTTGGAGATGATACCAAAGTTGTAGGGATGATGGGGTGCTGGGAAGCCTTAGGCAAGGCGATCCTCTGCTTAAAGTGTGAGGTGAATTAGCCCCTGCTAAGCCCAACTATAGACTAGGATATGTTTGGATTCCTCTGCATGACAAACACTGAGATCAGACACAGAGTCACATGTCATATGTGCCATGCAAGGACACCTGTTCAAGCCTTTCTTACCTAATGAAAAGAACTGGAGCCCCTGCGCTAGATTAGAGGCCTGAAATAGCAGGAGGGAGAGTAATCTGGGAGAAAACCACACGCTTTGTAGACTGGAGCTGAAAAATACCAGGAACCTCACTTTTCACCTAAGGACTTGTAGGAAGAAGAAGCTGTGGTGGCAACCACTTCATTAAGTCCCAATTCCATCCCAGGGGACTCTGAAAGCAAGCCTGAGCACCTAAGGCAGTAATTGATGCCATGCATGTCCCCCTTCTGCCAGTAGAGGGAAACAGCTGAAGCTTGCAAATCACTCCAAATTGTAGAGAGTTAGTCATTGTTTACTCTGACCTATCTAGATGTTTTCTACTCTGCTTAGTTTCCTTCTTGTTTTTCAATGAGAAGGTAATGAAAACTGGGTTTGAGGGGAAGCATTTGGGGAGTCACAGCACAGGTACTGGGTTTTTGTTTGAGAGAACCAAACAAGCTCTGGACCTAGATAGTGGTGGGGGGCGGTGTGTAATCCCACCAAACCATACTCTAAAGTAATTTGCATGATTAATTTTATGTTAACCACATTTCACACAATAAAAAATGGTATCTAATCCAATTCTTCTACCAACTCAGACTGTCCATTCCAATCCATATTATTTAATGGGGCTCTGCAGAAAATAGTCATAACCCAATTCCATAAATTAATGATTTCCCACCCACTTACTATCAGTCTGTGCTTTAACTTTGGTCTAACCTTGTTTTTGACATAGGTAGCCAAGGGTTGCTTTTCTTCATGCAATCTTTTTTTTAAGTTGGGGCCTTGCAAATGCTAAGGTACATCCCCAGATGCCTTTACAGGATTGTTTAGCAATGAAATAGTTTTATTACGACAGCCTAGTATGTGGTCGATTTTAGAGAAGGTTCCATGTGTAGCAGAGAAGAAGGTATATTCTTTTGTGTTTGGATGGAATGTTCTATAGATGCCTGTTAAGCCCAGTTGAGACATGACTTCTGTTAGTTCTTTTGTTTCTTTGTTGAGTTTCTGATTGGTGGTCCTGTCTAGTGGTGAGAGTGGCATGTTGAAGTGTCCCATTATAAGTGTGTGAGGTTTTATGTGAGCTTTGAATTTTAGTAGCGTTTCTTTTACGAATGTGGGTGCCTTTGTATTTGAGGCATAGATGTTCAGAAGTGAGACTTTGTGTTGATGGATTTCTCCTGCGATGAATACAAAATGACATTCTTCATCTCTTTTGATTAATTTTGGTTTGACGTCTAACTTGTTAGATATTAGGATAGCCACGCCTGCTTGCTTCTTGGTTCCATTTGATTGGAAGATCTTTTCCCAACCCTTTACCCTGAGGTAATGTCTATCTTTGAAGCTTAGATGTGTTTCTTGTATGCAGCAGAAGGATGGATTCTGTCTTCGTATCCATTCTGTTAGCCTGTGTCTTTTTATAGGTGAGTTAAGACCATTAATGTTGAGGGTAGTAAGGACCATTGATTGCTGATGCTTGTTTGTTTTAGTTTTGTTGTTGGCAGTGGTATTGTGAATATATTTGTCCTGCATTACCCTTGGTTCCTGGTGTAGTTAGATTATTTGTTGCCTACATTTTTGTGGGCATAGTTAACTTCCTTGCGTTGGAATTTTCCTTCCAATACTTTCTGTAGGGCTGGATTTGTAGATACGTATTGGGAAAATCTGGTTTTATCATTAAATATCTTGTTTTTATTTTGTATAAATTATGTTGTTTACTTTTAGTTCCCAATATTAATGGCTCCAAATTCTAAATCCATGTAAGTTCACAACAATAATTAAGGTAAACAGAAATTAATTAGATAATGGAGATATTAATATGAATAAAATGTACTAATTTGACAAATGTTAATAAATACTATTTAGTCCAAAGATCTAAACACACAAAACATATGTATGTATGCACACTAGTATGCCAACTGCCTTTTATTACAGTAGACAGTTAGGAAGTAATATAGCATTACCTAGCCTCTGGCTTCTTTTATTTAAAAGTGTAAAGTAGTTGTTTCTGTTAAAGAAGCTCCATTTTAGTGTTCATAGAATACCGGGACATATCAACAAACTGTTATGGATTTCAGAAACAATATTTTTCATTGCTTAGGAGTTAAACAGGTGATTATCTGGTTTCTAAAACTAAATGGAAAATGTAAACCATGATGCAAAACAAAAGCCGAGAGTAGCAATTACTTTTCCAAACAAAGTACCACTCTAGTTTGCCCCCCAGAGTTGAGGCATTATGTCTTTGAAGGGTGGCCACCTTCAAACCTATCTATCCCTGAGAGTAGAACTAATATTCACCTTCCTCCGTGTTGATGAACAGTGTGATGTAGGCATCGTTTTGGAACTTGCGGGTGTCTTGTCACTAGCTGTATCCAAATTCAAGGAGAGTTTCTCAGATCGGATAATACACGGGCTGACGCTGAGTTTCCGGGAGCGCAGAGGTTGGATCTGTAAAAAGAGAATGGAAGAGTTCAAACTTGATGTTTTCCCAGGCTACTGGTGTTCTTTTGTTACTTAACTGGTTAAAGACTGACGAGACAAAGAGAAAAAAAAATGACATATATAAAAATGTCAAAATGAAATCTAGCATTATGTAAAATTAATAAATGCTAATAAGACTGAGAGATGGCTCAGTAGGTAAAAGTGCCCACCATACAAAGATGAGGATCTGAGTTCAACTCCCTAGAATTTGTGTAAAATTAAGATGGGTAGCAGAAGCATCTGGAATGCCATTGCCTTGATGGCAAGATGGGAGTCAGAGACAGGAGAATCTCTGGAATATTGCAAGCCAGTTAGCCTGATGTATATGATAGAAAAAACATCAAAGAGACTCTGAAACAAAGGGGGTTGAAAAGAATCAACACCTAAGGTAGTGAGTTTGTCCTCTAACTTCTACAAATATGCCTTGAATGTGTGTGTGCATGTGTGCTTGTGTGTGAATAATGCCCACAAAGCATCTATCAATGTCTAAGCTGAATATGATATGTTATAGTTTGACTAAAAATGGCCTCCACAGGCTCATATATCTGAATGCTTAGTAATCAGGGAAGTATGATGTATGTATGCCTTTATGCATACATATGCACATAAAATAACAACTAAAAAGTAGGCCCTAGAAGGAATTTCCTGCCTCCTTGACTTCGAATCTAATACCTACTTAAATCAAAGGCCAGCAGTCTTGGTTTTGCCTCCAGGTTTCTGCACATTTTTGCCAATCCCCAAAGTCAGAAACTTGAGATTTCTTAAATGATTAAAGCCAGAGTCTTGATTTTAGCCCCTTCTGGAGTCTGTCTAGAAATCTAGCTTCATTCTGCTCTTTCTTTGAACTTTGGCCATGTATTTGGAGCCTAGTGCTTACAGAAGTGAATCTTGAGATTATGATATGAGATTGACTTCCACTCTACAATCTCTAGCCCTTTTGCTCCAAGAATTGCCTGGGCTAGGCAGAGACCTAACATTGTGTGTGAGATTCAATGATACAGTCTTACAGAGCATGAATGACAAGCTCTGGGTTTCCTCTTGAGCATCAGATAAATAAAATGTAAAATCTACAGTGGTACTGAGGGTGATTTGAATTGTGGGGCTTGGCCCAAGAGGTTTCAGAGAAGAATACTAGTATGTTGCCTAGAAACCATTCTTATGATATTTTGGTAAAGAATGTGGCTCTTTTCTGCCCTTGTACAAAAAAAGAGCCCACCTGAAGTTAAATCTCTGAGTTCAAGGCCAGCCTGGTCTACACAGCTAGTTCTAAGACAGCCAAGGTTAGGCAGTGAATGAAAGCACTGAAAACAGAAAGCTGGTGAAAATGTATTGAACAAGAGGGCCATGTTCCAGCTCCAGCAAGTAGCAGAACTTGGCAGCTTCAGCCACATTGTTCTGGCTTTAGGGTCAAGAATAGAAGAAAGGGATTATGGAATCTTCCTCCCTAACTAAAGAAAGCTGCTGAGGCCAGGTGTGTGGTACAATACTCCTGCGTGGGGTCCTAGTCCAGGATTTAAGCCAAAGGAATGGTGTCACCTATGGCAGGCAGGTTTTCCCTGCCTAATTAAACTTTCCATTTTCAAATCTTGGAGATGCCCTGACTGTGAAATACCTATCAAGGAGAGCTGCTAACAAAGAGTGGAACCAGCTCGAGAGAGAGAGGGGTGTATTGTTGTGAACAAAGCTTAAAGGAGTTGGAGATCCAAAGAGCATTTTGACATCAGACATGGAGAAGCAGAGCTTGAGTTTGCCCATCCAGTTTTCGTCCCAGCTTTGGTCCAGTATTTCCTCACTATCCTTTCTTTCCTTCTTTTTGTGACAGAGATGTACATCCTGTGCCATTATGTTATGGACCAATGGGATCTCCTTCTCCTCACATGACTCAGGGTCATGTCTCCTCTGGACTCTCCCAGATGGCCCTGCCTCTACAATCAACTTTGTCCTCCACCATAACTAGAAGCAAGGCTATCCTTAAGTTTTCCTCAAGTAGGTGTGGCCTTGTTGGAGGAAGTATGTCACTATCAGAACAGGCTTCCAGATCTTATATACTTAAGCTATGCCCAGTGTGGCAGTCTCTCCTTCTGCTCCATTCGGATCAATGTGTAGAATTCTCAGCTCCTTCTCCACCACCATGTCTGCCTGAATCCTGCCATGTTTGCTGCCATGACAATAATGAACTTAACCAACTTAACCTCCGAAACTATAAGCCAGCCCCAATGAAATGTTTTCCTTTATAAGAGTTGCCATGGTCATGGTATCTCTTCACAGCAATAGAAACCCTGACTAAGATGATCTATCTGGCTTAGCTGCCCATGTTCCACACATTTCTATGGTATTACCCCAACACCTTGGAACCTGAAACCCAGAGTTAATTTTTGGTATCATAGTGGCCCACAGATTCACTCAAAGTTCCCAGGACATCAGTTCCTGAGATTCTAGGCAGAGTTCTGGAAATAGGAGATATCTGTGGGAGAGAAAGCTTGGGCTTGGTATGCTAGCACATAAATAGTAAACTCTCCACTGTCAAAATAACGATGGTATCCTTGGAGTATATTAAGTAAGTACACCAACAGCAGCCAACACTCTATGTTGGCCATGTTACATAGTTTCACGCCTATTTATATATTATGTGATGTTTAAGATATTGCTGTGAGGTAGAATTAGCTGATAAGCAGGATCAATTTTTTCCCTCCTTTGAGGAAGGATAGAGGATAGAGGAATAATGTCTAATTGGACTGAGGGGAAGTTCATTATTACCTTCCGTGATCTGCTTCTCTGAACATCAGGAGATGATAGCAGTTTGCTTGCTGATTTTTCAGGTTCAGGATCCAAACAGAAGATGCTATCATGGGATATGGCCTTGGTTCCCATGCTGCTCATAGGCCTACATGGAAAGGAAAAGTCTTTTCAAAGAAGTCCAAGGAATTAAAACTCAAAGGACAAGGTATTTTCATTATAGAGATACCAGAGACAGCTCAGTAGGAGTACAGAGACACATGAGTGCTGAAACAGAAATCAGTCTATGAGATGTGGAGTGAGAGGGAATACAAAATCAAAAGTACATAGTATATACATACAATGATGGTTTGAAAGTGCCTCCCGAACTGAGTGCCACTATTAGGGGGTGTGGCCTTGTTAGAGTAGGTATGGCCTTGTTGGAGGAAGTGTGTCACAATAGGGGTGGTTTATGAGGTGTCCTTTGCTCAAGCCACGCCCAGTGTCACAGGTCATTTCCTGTTGTCTGAAAGTCAAGATGCTTTATATTTATGTGGGTTAGTCCTAAGCACAAAATGAAAGACAATATAGACTTATCTGGAAGTGGCCTCTTTTGTGACACAATTTTCTGAAGAAATAGTTTCTTTTTTCACTTTTTTCTTTAGTTTTTGTTTCTACATCACAACCAAAGTTTCCCTTCCCTCCTCTTCTCCTACTTCCTCAACCCTCCATCTCTCCCTCAACTCTTCCTCCTATGTTTCTCTTTAGAAAAGTGGGGCCTCCCATGGATATCAGCCAGCTGTAGAATATCACACTGCAGTGAAAGTAGGCACCTCCTCTTCTATTAGGGCTGGATGAGACAATCTGGTAGGAGGAAAGGGTCCCCAAAGCAGGCAACAGAATGAGAGACAGCCCCTGTTACCACTGTTAGGAGACTCACACCAAGACCAAAGTACACAACTGCTTGTCTCTTCCATCTCTGTGAGTCCCCATGAACCCAGGTTAGTTGATTCTGTGGGTTTTCTTGTGATGTCCTTGACCCTACTGGGTCTTACAATCCTTCCTCATCCTCCTCTGCAAGATTCCCTAAGTTCTGCCTAAAGTTTGGCTGCAGATATCTGCATCTGTTTCCATCAGTTGCTGCTTGAATACACATAAATATAATAATGCCATTTCCCGAAAAAGAGGAGCCAAGATGGAGAATCTGGAGAGAATAGAACCACCAGCCGCCTCTCACTGCTAGTTGCCCCAGCCTAGTGTTGCTTTCACCATGATGCTCAGTGTGACACTCATGTTCAAAAATAAACTAATGGCTCTCTGCGGGTCCACTCGGAGTTCCTGCGGGCAACATCCTTGACCCCCAAATCCGGGCCCCTGCCAAAGAACGAGGTCTCAGCTGGAGAGTGCCAGTTTTCAGTGAGATCCCACTACCCTGCAAAACCTTCTCAAGTTTCAGCCCAGCCCTCGTCCTCTTCTGCCGGCTATTGGCCAGAGTTGAAGAACAAGTTACTGGGGAAAAGTATTTCTATTTTTGTTTCCACAGAAAATGAAAAGATGTGGATTCCTTCCAGACTAATGTGGTTTGATCACACCAGACCGCCTGAAACAGAGTACAAGCTGATCCTACATTCCAAACAGCTGGACAAAACAGCCCTACAGACTACAGCTAGGATATCTGAATCTTCTTCGAATCCCCCAAGACAGCGCCCCTTACCAGCAGGAAGTTGTTCGGAAAGAACGACGCCCAAATTCCCAAATATTGTGTATAAATGTTTGTTTTCATTTAATTGTACTTTGTTATATAAAATTAAATAAAAAAATAAATAAATAAATAAATAAATAATGCCATTTCCCTGTTGTGGATTATGCTCGTTGTTAATAATAAAGCAGATTGGCCAATAACAGAGATCAGCAAGACACAGGGAAAATGCTGGGAGAGAAAGGTGGAGTTGGGGCAGTCATGGCAGATGCCAGCCAGCCAATAAGCAAGCAGGATGTGCAGGAAATAAGGTAATAAGCCATGAGTCACATGGCAAAATGTAGATTAATAAAAATGTGTTAATTTAAATTTAAGAGCTAGTTAGTAATAAGCCTGAGTTATCAGTCAGCAATTTATAAGTAACATAAGCTTCTGTATTGTTATTTGGAAGTAGCTCCTGGGACAGGAAAACTCTACCTACATTTCTGCCCCCCCCCTTCTCTCTAACCCCTCCTATGCTCCCTTCCCTCCCTCTCAAATCCAGGGCCTTTTCTTTAATTACTATTATTACATATCTACATTAATGTATGGATAACTATATAAGCACAACCTGATAAGTCCATTTACTGTTGCTTCTTTGCATATGTCTTCAGGGCAGACCACCTGGGATTCAGTAACCAAGTAGTATTAACACTCCCTACCCCTACCAACTCTTCCTATACTTTCCTACTTCTCCCTCTCTTCTTCATGTCCCCTTTTCAAATTCACTGTCTCTAATTAGTGCTTCCCACACACACAAGGGTGTGGGGCCATCCACTGGGGCGTAGTAAACCTTCAAAAGGCCACACCTCTTAAGAAATTGGTACACTCTGGGAGCCATCAACTGTCAACAGCTCCTCAGCTAGGGATAGAGCCTTATGATCCCCTCCTCAATCCATGCTGGCATGGTGACTGTAGAACCCTGCTTTTGTAAGCTGAGAGTTGCAATCCCATTTGGATTTACATAATTGGAAACATGTAATGGTTGAAAAAATAATTTGAAATCAACTGAATGATGAATCTGGGGCGTTTCTGGCAGTGTTCATCCATGTTGCATAGTGTGTTTTCACAGCATCTTTGCTTCTGAACACACAGCACATGCACTTTGAACTCTTCATGTCAATGAACATTATCTGAAACACCTTAGCTCAGATTCGAGACTGGTGTATGATAAGAGTTTCAGGGTTTTTATTGTATTTACAGGGTTTTGTACTTTTATGGAAACACAATGGCTCGATGGTAGGAAAACCAGTATTTTCCTACTATTATGCTTCAACATGGAAATATCAAACCAGTATATCTTTTGATTGTACTGTGTTAAAATGTTTGATTTTTTTATTTGTTTATTGCATGAGACAGGGTCTTACCATGTAGCCTTGGATAGCCTAGAACTTTCTACATAGACCAACTGGGCATTAAACTCATAAAGATCACCTTGCCTCTGCCTCCTGAGTACTGTCTCATGACTTGGGTTACCATACCCAGCTGGCTATCAGTTTTATGGGTGATTGATTGTTCAGATGGTTGAAAATTCTGATCTCTCTTCCAAACACTCGAATGGCATTCTCTAAGTTTTTTGTTCTAGCACATTAAAAAAGAGATAAAGGCAAGGAGTGATCTTCAGGCTCTTAATTTTTTCTCCTTGCCAAAATACCTTTCCCCTTATTCCCCTCAACATTTCTTAGTGTGGCTGTCTTAGTTTGAATGTAATTGGTCCCCATAAGCACATAGGGAGTGGCACTGTTAGGAGGTATGACTTTGTTGGAGTGGGTATAGCCTTGTTGGAGGAACTGTGTCACTGCAAAGGCAACCTTGGGGACTCATGTATGCTCAAGCAACGCACAGTGTCTCAGACCGCTTCCTGATGCCTGTGGGTCAAGAGATATTAACTTTCAGTTCCTTCTCCAGCACCATGCTTGCCTGCATGCTTGATGATAATGAACTAAACATCTGAACTGTAAGTCACCCCCAATTAAATATTTTCCTTTATGTTTATAAGAGTTGCCAAAGTCATGGTGTCTCTTCACAGCAACAGAAACCCTAACTAAAACAGTGTCAAATACAGTAGAGTAAGCAGACTATTTTGGAGTGAGAAGTTACCTAGTTAACTTTTTTGTTTTTAGAAATAACCATTACCAATTTGCAGAAACAATTCAGGGTAAACCACATAGTCCATTCCATGTCCTACACCTCTAATGTATACTTAGGCTTCTTCTAATCTTACTTTAAACTCTGAGACAATGTTCTACAATGCCATTGCTTGTAAGGTATGAAATAAGCCCCTTTGTCCAACACCCTTCCCCTTGGCAAAGCTATCTGAAAGCCCTTATTGCAGACACTCATTAAAGAAGCATAAATATTCTAATGCCGTATGTCATGGGAAGTGTTTGGGAGAGGGGAGTATTGGGAGAATCTTAGCATGGCAGAGCTTCAGAGAATGGTTAGGAGCAATGGTGAAGTTTATGCAGCACCTCCAGATGTCTGCAGTTTAACTTCATGGCAATTGACCGAAGTCCTTCCATAGAGGGAGATTTGATTGGTTTGAGCACAGTTTCAGGTACAAGATACCCAATGAAAGAGAAAGACAATGTTTAAATTGGAACACCACATATAAAAATGTGAATGAGTGTGAGTGGGTGGCTGAGAAACAGCCTTCCCCATATCCCTGTGTTCTGAGGGGGAATGAAAGATGGATTGAGCTTGCTAGCTTGTTTGTGTGTTTTAAGCAACCAAAGCTTTTATGCTTAAGCTATTCTATGCTAAGCTTTTAACGCCCCTTTTCTCCTGAGATTTTTATTACTTAGACATGTAGATTCCATTTTCTGCATCTGCAACCTAGAGATGAGGTAAACAAACCAGGTCAAAAGACCAAACCTTTGCATGACATGGGTCATCCTGACCACACAATGGGCCACAAGCTCCTCGTGAGCAGTAGGCCTGGAATCTGATTATTCTACCTGCCTGTGGCTGTTCTGATCCAGCCCTGGTCCCCTGACCCCATCTGGGCTTACTTGTGCTCCATCACTTGGACTTCCAGAACTGGCTTCAGACTGCTGCTGGAATACCTTTGCTTTAGCCCTCTCCCTTCCATGACATCTTCCAGTTCTTTCTTTTTCTTCTTGCCAAAAAAGTTCTTAAAGGCTTTAAACTTGGATTTCTTCTTTCCTAGGGGTGAGAAGTGGATATGAGTTCAAGAACAGTGGAGAAAGTGAAGGTAGGGGTGTGGTAGTGGCAGGAAGAGGGCTGTGCTCTCGGGTGCCTTGCAGATTTTGTCTCTGGTAACCACAGTACCATTCATTTGTTTGTGGCACCCTTAGAAACTCAATAAGCAAGTATCTGATTGCTGTAGAAAGGAGCAACCCAGGCGACAGCTTAGGGTCTTAAAGCAGCCTCAATCCAGGTCAAATTGACAGAGTACCCTTTTACTTGTCAATTTCAATGACTGGGAAAGCTCATCTGCATTTTATTATCTGCCCTTAACCCTTCTATATTTTATTTTATTTGAGTTTGTTGAAGGGAAGGTGCAGGATGTAATTATATAGAGAGCAGCTGGCCTTGAAATGATGATCCTCCTGCGTCCACCTCCCTAATGCAGACATTATAGACCTGTGATACTTACCCCCAGATAGGGGATTATCTTTATTTGAATTACTAACATCTAGGAAATTGTAGGAGTTAAAACAACAACAACATGGTCTTACTCTGTAGCCCAAGGTGGCCTCAAACTTGGGTTCCTCCTGCCCGTGCAGCCAGAGGGCTGGTATAGGAACCTCATGCTACCTCCCTGGGTTTGGCCTTCTGTTTTAATTTCTTAAATCTAGGAAAGTATGGGGGACTAAAACAAAACAAAACAACAGCAAAAGAAACAAACAAAACCCAGTAGCTCAAACCAGCCCCAAACTCTCAAGCCTCCTGTCTCAGCACCCCCTGTGCCACCAGCCATACCTGACTTTGTATTTTAAGGTTTTAATTTTGTAAATGTAGGGAATTATAGGGGTAAAAACAAAACACACACCCACACAAAACAGACCTCAAACGTTCGATTCTCTTGCCTCCACACCCTAAGTATTAGTATTACAGTCCTGTAACACCACCTAGGCATTGGCTTCTCTTTTAAAATAATTTCTTAAATATCTAAAATTGAGAGGGTTTAGAAAAAGGGGCCCTACTATGTGGTGGAGGCCAGCTCCACGCTCTTGAGCCTCCTGTTTCCAAACTTAAGTTCTGATATTGCAGGCCTGTGCCACCAACCCAGGCATTGCCTTCTCTTTTAATATTCTATTTTTTAATATATGAAATTGTGAGGGCTTTTTTAAGGTCCCAACATGTAGCCTAAGCTGGTTCCATACTCTTGATCCTCCTTTGATCCTCCTGCCTCTACACCTCAAGTGCTGTTACTACAGGCCTGTGCCATCTACCAAGGCTTGATCATCTCTTTTAATCTTTTAATTTCTTTTTTTCTGTTTTGATTTTTGGAGACAGGGGTTCTCTGTAGTTTTGTAGACCAGGCTGTCCTTGAACTCACAGAGATCCACCTGCCTCTGCCTCCCAAGTTCTGGAATTAAAGGTGTACACCGCCACTGCCTGGCTTTAATTTCTTAAATCTAGGGAAATGTGTGTGTTTCTTTTCTAAAATTGGCCTCTCTTTGTAGCCTAGGTTGTCCTTAAATTCCATCTTCTGGCTTCCACACCGTCAGGGCTAATACTGCAGGCTTGTGTTACCATCTGAGGCTTGACCATCTCTTTTAACATTTTAAATGCTTAAGTCTAGGAAAGTAGGGTATTAAAACAATAGGATCTCGCTCTATAGCCCAGGCTGCCCTCACATTTGAGATTCTCTTTAACTCCACACCCACAGTGCCAGTATAACAAGCTGTAGTACCACCTTAGACCTGGCTTTATCTTTTACCCTTTTAATTTCTTTAATCTAGAAATATGTGGTGGTTAAAAACCTGAGTCTTACTCTATAGCCCAGGCTATCCTAAACCTCTTGATCTTTCTCCCTCTACATCTGGAATTTGGAATTGTAAGGCTTTGCTACCACCCCAGGCTTGGCTACACCCTAGTTGATGTTTTGTAGGCCACCACTGTAGGCGAGACTTCCTGTTTTAGTCTTTCGATTTTTAAATCTTGGGAATTTAAAAACAAAGTCTCACAGTGTAGCTCAGGTTGGCCTGGAACTTAGTCTTCCTGTCTCCACACACTCGTGTTGGCATTGCTGGCCTGTGCCACCACCCAGGCTAGGTGCTTGGATTTACATTTCCCATTTCTTAAATCAAAGTTGTGAGGGGAAAAACCAGGGTCTCAGCACATGAATGAAGCTATCCTCCAACTCTTCATTGTCCTGCTTCCACCTCCAAGTCCTGGTATTCTAAGCCAGCATAACCAACCTTTTAATCCTTTAACTTTGTAAATCTGTGAAACTGTGAGGGTTTCTTAAGGGTTTCTATATGTAGCCTAGACAGCCCTCAAACTGTTGGTCCACTTGCCTTCGCTGGGATGCAGGGGAGTGCCACCACCCTGGGCTTGGCATTCTTTTTAATAGTCTTTCTTTTTTCTTTTTTTGAGAGAGAGAGAGAGATGGTTTCTCTGTATTGTTTTGGAGCCTGTCATGGAACTTGCTCTGTAGAGACTCTGTAGAGGTGGGCCTCGAACTCACAGAGATCCACCTGCCTCTGCCTCCTGAGTGCTGGGATGAAAGACATACTCAACCATAGTCTACTTTCTTAAGTCTAGGAAATTGTGGAGTTAAAAAAAAAAAAAAAACAGGGTCTCGCTTCATAGATGAGGCTAGCTTCAAACCTTTGATATTCCTACCTCTATATCCTGAGTGCTGAGATTATAGAAGTAAGGATAACATATGCATTTCTAATAGCTACCAACATAATAGTAGCTTTGTGCTAGAAACTGCTTCACTGTTAGACCCTTTGTGGGGAAATGCTCAGGTGTGCACTCTTCATCTATTAGAGCAGTGGAAACACTATTACCATGGGCATTTTGAAACCAGTTTGAGCCTATTTGAGCCGGTCTGAGCCAGTTTGAACCAGCTCCAACACACCAGTCACTAATGCTGGCTCTCAGAGAAGAGTTGGACCAAACTGCTACATTTCAGTCTTTAGACGCACTATCATCTGCCTTCAAAACAGGAGGAACAACAGTGACTTGGTGAACATTCACCATGCTTAGAAATACAGGGCCCACTGCCCCCTGGGAACCTACTTGGTACCAGGAAAACAAAGCTAGAAATTTCAGAGTTGCAAATCCATTTCTTAAAAACCAATGAAGAGCAGATAGATGCTATCAACAGCTGGTAGCTCCCTTTATAGCACAACCAGCAAAATGGAATAGCTGAGTAAAAATACTAATAAACTGTTAAGGATGTAAAACCAAAGTTGCCAAACATAATCATGACCCAAGCAGACAAAATCTCACTCACACATTTTATCCTCCTGAATTAACAAGATGACAATGACTTATGTGCTAGCATTTCAATAAGCACAGATTCTGTTTTTCACCTACTTTGCATTCTTTGAAGGGAAGCAACATCTTATTTTCTCAGAAGAAGTTAGAATACTTCAAATGATGCAAGACTTTTTGCAGGAGGATCACTAGAGGATAAGGAATGCTTCGATTGTACTCTTGGGGGCTAACTGCTATGAGTATGGAGTTTGCATAGTTTTACCACCTGGGATTTGGAACTATGCAAAGAGACCACACACACTGGAAAACATGGTGTGTTGGATGCTCACTGATCCTGAACAGAGGCTAGATACACTTGTGAAATCCTAATTCAAATATGTTTGCCAGATATTTGGGTATGTAAATATGCCTTTTCAAGTTTTCGTTTTATAAGGGTTGCCTTTAAGTTGCCAGCATATGAGCCACAAAATCCTGGTTTTCAAAAGTCATTAAAAATACAAAGGATAATTAGACAGGTAAGGGTAAAACTTTATGTCTAGCAGTCACCTATAACTAATGTCACCACAAAGTGTCGCTGTTGCAGCCAAAGAACACAACACTGACAGCTGACAGCTGAAAGCTGACAGCTATCTGGCTTTCTCTAACAAAGCCATTGGTTTTTGTGTCCAACCCAATTTCCAAACAGCAAGCAAATTTCAACTTCGTTACTCAACAAAACCCAGGATTAAAATGTCACATGCCATGAAACGGCCCTTTAAAGGGCTATTCTCCAGCACCTGCAGAAGAAATCACAACCAAATCCAGGGACCAAATTGTTGCTACTGCTTCCTGCATTTGCTTATCCAGCATGCACATGGACAGTCCATTCTATCTGGGTTGGACTTAGATTTAAAATGCATACTATAAAATAATAACCTGGTGTTCTTGCCTTGCTGCTAGGGAAACACACACACACGCACACACACACACACACACACACACACACACACACCTAGCTTTTCCTCCTCCCACCCTCTCTATCTCCAAATGGTCGTTTTATTTTTTTTATTTTTTTTTAATGTGATCTTTTGAAAATTCTGGAGAGCAGACCAAAAGCATTTTCCTCTATCCACCCTTCCTCAAAAATACCACACTGCTGCCCTCTTCTGTGGCCATCCGCCTTAAGTCAGCTGATGACTTATTTGAGTCTGCTGTGTCGAGGAGTCCTTTCACTCACTCACTCACTCACTCATTCATTCATTCATTCATTCATCTGTTCATTCATCCACACATCCATTTCTTGAATATTCTGGAGTGCCTAATAACTCTCTGAGATCCTACTAACAAGAGATCAAGAGCTGTCCAGACTCCGTGAGCAATCTCAGCATCCCATACCTCACACATTTAGTGAGCTCACCCTATCCCCACAGGAAGCCATAAAAGGCTTCTACTCTCTGCCTTTCTAAATAGTCTTCTAAGCTATGCATTACTGAAGAAAACTCAGCAAACAAATGAAAAAACAATCCAACTGACTATTACATTTGGTTCTATCTTTAAAATCAATTTTCATTTCATGTCTCTTAGTTCCATTTTTTAATGTACTTTTGGAAGAGAAATGGTAATTGGGTGACTGTATTAAAATTGAGTCACATGCATCTATGAAAACTTCACAATGAAACCTATTATTTTATATAAGAAAGATACACTAATAAAAAAATCAGTGTTTGTAATTTATCTCTCCATTTCTATCATTCTTCTTGGGTTCATCTATCATTCATAGATGACACCACAACTTAGCCGATGAATACATATTTGAGGAAGGTTTGCAAATGAGATTTATTCTCATTTTGAATTTAATATTTTAATTTTAATTAGCATACAAAATATTAGCTTTCACTGTGGCATTTTCAAATAACATTATCTTGTTGATTCTTCTCCCATTTCATCTCCATGTCCTATTGTCCCCACCCCCTTCCACTGCCAGCAGCCTGGTTGCTGTGTTCTATGGTCTCCACCCTCCTGCACACCTTTTCCCTACCTCCCATCATGGTCACCATTGTGCACTCACACCCACGTATACGTAAACATTAAAAGCTAAGATGTGCATATGAGACATTTCATACTCTGAACTTGGATGCCTGTGGTGGCCTCTGTTGTTTCTATCCCCTTTACTCCTCATTACAAATCCCTCCCTTGGTTGAATCTGAGATACTATCTGCAATGAAGCCATGATGGAATTCTTAACATTCTCATTATTCTTTCTAACTAAGCAGAAATGCCTCTACCTTAGTGCATAGAAGCTTCTGTGAAGATTTTTAGGCCTTGTTGCTGCTCTCTTCCAATGGCCCACCCACCTCCATCCCTCCATCCTCTCCACAGGATCCACTTCCTAGGCCGAGTAGCCTCCATTTTGCGTTCATGTCTTGTGTATCCTATTACTTATTTTTTTCCTCCCTCACCCCTCTTTTAAGACCTGTTTTCCCTTCTATCCCCCTGTAATGGTCCCTTTATGATCAGACCAGATTCTTTTTCCTGATGGTGGTATACAGCAAATCCAGTGCTTGTCATGAAGGTTTTATTGGATGACTTACCATCCTCTGTGCCTTCTAAACCTTCCATGTTGATGGATAGTTCACTTAATGACTCAGCCATGGTAAATTCACTAAAAATGAAATCCAGAACAAATGAGGAAAAGATTATTCCTTCAATTTGTAGGATACAACAAAATCATTTCATCTTGCTACGTATTCTTAAGTTATATTCTTACGTTATTCTAGAAAAAAACAGGCAAATGCTGTTGCCATTAGGGGTTGGTATCATGTCTTAAAAAGACAATAATCTTAATAACAGGAAATAACAGGCAAATACATGGATACACAGGCAAGCGTCTACGGCTGGGGCTGAGGGAGTTAGGGAATGATGGGTGAGGAGTCACTGCAACACCTTTGGCCATCTTAGTGAACATGGTGGTACTTTCCAGCACTCACACCTCACAGAGGGAAAGACACTACATCTTGAACTTCAGAAATCCCCAGAAAGAGCTTTTGCACATGATGCCAGGCCACTTTAGGCTCACAATGTCCTTTACTCACCATAGTCAGTGATAGAAGGAGATCCACTAAAGAGAAATGTATGAAAGACAATGAAAGAACAAAGAAAAAAGGGGGTATTTTGACACCCCTGTCACTTGGTGTCACTATGAGAGGCAATCTGTTTAACCCCAAGGTTCAGTTTGATTTTTTCTGGACTACAGGTCTCTTTTCCCTCAACTGACCCTAAATGGTCCAAGAACATCACCACCAGCAACCCTGCGTCTCAGGCAGGGCCTGTGTAACATCTCTCCTCGTCACCAAAGTCACAATCACAGCAGAATGAATAAACTTCCCCTGCCCTGCACATCCTTTCCTGTTACCTCTCCATCTTTCTCAGGCTTATTAGCACAAAATCCATGAATTGTCTCTACTCACTCATCTGTGGCTTCGCTCAGAATTCTCTTGTGTTCATTCCAGCAAGGACTCCAAAACCACCTGCCTCGGTCCCAGCAGAATGCTCTGCCTAAAGCCAGCCTTCTCTCTCTCCTACTCTCTCTTTTAAAACATTTGTATCAGATCCTGTCCAGAACATCTCACTCCCCAAATTTTCCTCTTTCTTTATTGGCTGGTCTTTCCCAGGCTCCTCTAAGGACCCATTATCCTAGCCCTGATTTTGAAACATAGCATGTGGGACCTTGTCCTTGGCCCTCTTCTTTATCAGCAATAGTGCCCTAGCCCAGAAACCCTCAACAGAACCCACTTGTAAGTCACATGCACAACTAAAAATCCCCTAGCAGTGACATTTCAAAAAGGAGCAACCCCCAAAACAGGCAGCAGGTGAAATCATTTTAATAAGGTCTTTCGTTGAACCCAATTTAAGTAATATATCATTTCAACATGGAACCACTATAAAATATGAATAGTATGTTTTACATTTTTCCTATCACACCAGTTGTATTAGCCCCTTCCTCTGCTTAAACTTATTCACCAACTTTCTGCTATTTAAGGTTAAAGCCCTACCTTTCTAAACACATGGGCCTCCCTTTCCCCTGTGTCTCCCAGCAGCCTCCTGCACTCTCATTCCCACACCATACTCTCCTAGAATCATGAGCCATCCCTAATCATATTGTGATGTTCTGCTTTATCTGAACCATGCACAGCCTGTCCATTATGTCTGGAATGACATCTCCCCAAATGACCATACCCTTAAATCCCCTCTTGTTCTTCATGACTCCATTACCCATGTCTATGCCCAGCACGCTCTTGGCCCTTTGCACATACATCTTCCATAGCTGGCATCACCTGGCAGGCAGGGGCATCATTTTGCTTATCTAAGTAGCATCATTATCCAGTAGCATAAGTACACAAGTACATGTGGTTGGGAAGGATGGATGCAATAGGAGCCATAGCTAGGTGATGGATCAAAAATCTGATTCAGTTCAAAAAGTGCTCCTCTTATTTAAATGTATGGGAACACATACATTTGACACCCTTTTCAAGTAAAGAACTCCTTTGCATGAAGTCCTATAAGAAAACCTTGTGAGACAAATAAGTACATGTTTTTATACAGAGAACTTCATGTAAAGTGTTCATCAGCAAGTCTGGCACAGCAGTGATATAAAACTGAATTATGGACTCTAGACTAAAATGTACCTCATGCACATAACCCTGGATTTGATCCTAGTACCACACACACACACACAAAATAATGAGACTGAAAATGCAGACTTGCTTTCCAGGGCTGTTCCGGAGCTTCCTTCTCCTTCTCCGCTGTCTTGCTGAAAAGCTGTGAAGTGTCTAAAGGTAAAACATGGGGACCATAATTCCGGGGTATAAAGACCAGAAAGGCAGAGAACACCAGGCACTGTCTTGTAGCTGAGAACAACCTTTGGTTAACAGCCACCAAGAAACCAGAGACCTTATAGGTAGTCTGCAATCCCTGCACTCAGAAGACCGAAGCATGAGGATAGCACAAGTTTGGGCTCGCCTCAGTGTTCAGGTTTGGATATAAAGTGTTCAATGAAAGGCAATGTTGAAGACCAGCCAGTGGAGATAATCATTGAGGTGATTTGCTGGGCTTGGTAATGCACTCCTTTAATCCCAAAAGTTGGGAGGCAGAAGCAGGAAGATTTTTGTGAGTTTAAGACCATCCTGGTCTACAGAGTAAGTTCCAAGATTACACAGAGAGACCCTATGTATAATCAAATAAATGGAACTCCAGGGCTCTGACCTAATGAATGTATTCACCCATTGACAGGTTTGTAATTTGATAGTATTAGTGAGAGGTGATTGAAATTTGGAGACAAGGTCAGGATGCAGTTGCTACTTGAAGCATGTGTCAAGAGCACTGTCACCAAATTCCCCACTAGTCTTCACCTCTGTTTCAAGCAGGGTGTGCCTGAGATTTTTTTTTATATTGTTGTCATGGTTACTGCTATCATAGTTCCTAGCAGTCAATAACACATAAGTGGGGAAAAGTGAACATCTGCAAAACCTGGGGCAGGAACAAGAGGAGAAGAAAGAGAAGTGAATGTTGGTGTAGGCTATGAATTGTCCTTAGCTGGTTTGAATCTGTGATATTTGACTCAGTTCTTCTCTACCCTTGTAATTCCAGAGGCACCAGGGAGGGGAGGCACTGGAAACCACTCCCTGGACCTTGGATATAAAGGCAATAAGCAAAGATGAGAAATCAGTCCTCAAGAATATGCCCTCGTCCCACGCTGGATCATCTGGACCCCTTTTGGTGGCCACTTGTAACTTTTTGGTTTCTTCTTGGGAAACTTTAGTTCACACTATGAGTTGCAAGACACAATCTGTGGGTCATCCCGGGGCCTCAACAAATAGCCTTTGTTCTCTCAGTTCTGTCTGGCCTGAAAGAGAGTGTTCTCTGAATAGAAGCCCTCTTCACAGGGGAATTGGCCTAAGGAGAGGTGATTCTGCTATTCTCCCGTGGGTGCATACCCAACAAAATAATGGTGCCTCCCAGAAAATGAGATGCCTGAAGATTCTAAGCTAGGGTGATACTTATAAGCCTTTGGGCCTCTAGTTTCCTTAGATCTTAAATCATAGGTATCCCTTCATCCCTTCATAGCAGGTGCTATGTCACACATGAGCCGAATCATCTGCAGGTGCTCTAGGTCCTAATGTCATCTTTCACTGCATCCATGGCACTGCCTTCGGTCTACTTTGCCTGAAATAGCTACTGTGTTACCCATTCTCTTGAAACATACACCCTCGTCAGAGTATTACTCCTCAGGGCCTCCTTCACCACACCCAGACCCTATGTGAATGCATAGTGTGTGCTCAAATCTGTTTCAGTTGCTATGGAGACAATGGAAAAATAAACTAGTGTCTGCTCTTTGCTGGACACTGAGTAGGTGCCCAGACTGAAGTTGTTTTCTCAAAGCCCTGCTCACTGAATCCTCAGAGCTTCCCTGTGAAGAGGGGTTATTTGTCTTCACCCCCTCCTTCATAGGGATAGGGAAGCTGAAAGGCTGAATAATTACCGATGCTCACATGGTGAAGTATATGGCACATACAAGTTATGGTTAAGTATATGGCACATACAAGTTAAGAAGTTACAGGTAGAACCTAGGACTTCAGAATGCTGTCGAAAATGATCCACTCCCTGGGGACAAAGAAAATTGAGGACAGTGCCTATAATCCCAGCAATCAGGAGGTTGAAGAACACTCTGGGATTCATAGTGATGTCCTGTGTTCTAGGAAACCTTGTTCTAATTTGTTTTCTATTGCTGTGATAAACATCATGGCCAAAAGCGACTTGGAAAGGGTTCATTTCTGCTTACAAGTCACAGGTTATAAGCGAGGGAAGACAGGGCAAGAACACAAGGCAGGAACCTGGAGGCAGGAGCTAATGCTGAGGCCATGGAGAAGAACTGTGTAGTGCCTTTCCCCTCATATTGCACAGGTTATTTTCAGTATCTTCTGAAATGCTAGCATGGTGACCGTGGATGGCTGTATTTTGGACTTGTTGTGAAACATTTTTATTTCTCCATAATCTTGTATTTTTTTAAAGATTTGGTTACTCTTCTTTTCAATATTTTTTTAATGTGAATGAGTGGTCTGTTCACCATGTGCATGCAGTTCCCATAGAAAGCAAGAGAGGTTGCCAGATCCCCAAAAAATGGAACCACAGACTGTTATGAGCTACCATGTAGCTGGAAATCAAACCTGGGTCCTCTGGAAGAGCAGCCAGTGCTCTAAAGTGCTGAGACATCTCTCCAGGCCCTCTCCATACATTTCCAAAGCCAGCATGACTGGATTTAGCAACCTTGACTAACAGTTCCTTGCTTTCAAGGCTTTGATATCTACCATGTTATGTGTTTCTGGCTTTTAGTTTTCTGCTGGGTGTTCTGATATCTTTTCTTTCTAAGTACTTAGCAATTTTCTCTGACAGATTTTAACACTATTTCTTTGTTTTGTGGCTTGGTCATCTTGACTCCAATGTCTCCTCTGTTCAAATCTTCTCATATCTAACTTTCTCCTATGTTTCAGTGTCCACCTTCCATGCCTGATATATTTTTTCTGTTGCTTGATCTAATCTATTTGTGATGCTTTCCACTGAGG